AAAGTTATGCCTTCTTTCTTTGCGTGAACATTTGGGCGGTGTTATGCAAATCTTCCCACATAGTGAGGTAGGTATGTGGGGGCGTGTTAGAACGAGCCGTTTTAGGTAGGTGTGGCTGACTCTGAACTTTTATAAAGAATATCTCTTTGGATTTGAGACTTTAGTCTTTGCAACTTTACAGATCTTCTCTATGCACCAAGAGCTTGTAACACTCCAAAGAGAAAGGAAAAATTGAAATCGCATCATATGACCCCTTTAAAGTAGCGGCCTATCCAACTTTTTCTTCAACGCGGAAGTAAGCCTATGGGTGAGGCTTCCAGTTCATTAGCCGCTATAGGTAAATAACGAGGAGAATAACAACGTGCAGTAAATGGTAAAACAGTTTGCACTACAAACCAGTGTGTTCATAATTAAGATAATACATTCAAATAATATGATAAGACACACCAACTTTCAATATCAAGCAGCAAAACGAACTGTTTTGTTCAGCTAAAAATAGCTGGAAGGAGTGGACGCAGATGAGACCGGAAGCCAGACCCATAGAATTTACAAATGGCCGCGCCCATTTTTACGACAAGAAAAAGGTCATGGAATAAAAGAATTTAAAAAAAAAGGTAATTTGGAGTTTATAAAAAGACAACAATAAATTTTTTCTCTCTTATTCCATGGATTTTACCCGTTTCCCTCCACTTGTTATCAGTGTTTTTCTGCCACCACAATGCTTGCACAGCTGCAAGTGATGTAATTGTGACATACAATTATTACAAATTAATATTATGCGTTTGAATGCACATATTTTAGTTAAAGAATATACAAACACTTTCTAAAATTAGTTATTATTATTAATTTCTATTTTATAGGCAGATGGATAACAATGATATTATAATTTAATTTAAACATAAATATACATTATTATGCATGTGTGTAAATGTAATATTCAAGTAAATTACATTTAACCCGAGTCTTTTTCTAGATCGCGGTTTAACCATTGTTACTCCAGCCTTTGGTGACTCCGCCCGTGTTTACAAATCGCTAAACTTAGTTTCTGCAATGCTTGTGGAAATTGTGCAATAAACAGAGCAGGTCTATCAAGGGTGGTAT